AGAATCCCAAGCAGGTTCTGCACCATCACCACAGAGCTCACGAATTGTGAGATCATGACCTGAGCCAAAATCAAGGGTCTGACACTTAATTGACTGAACCATCCAGGTGCCCCTTGAGTGTCCTCTTTAATGTACTCTTCCCAGCTATCTCTGCCTTTTATCATTTTTGAGCTATTTTACAACTCAGTAATTTGTAGAAAGCTGGAAATAATACCAAAGATTCTTCTCCATACAAATACAAATCAGTTGTGTCAGAAAGAATGCATTCCCACTTTCTTATATAATTGTGTGGTACTTTGAATTCACCTTTCAACCAGTTATAACTTCTCATCAAGTTCCCCCAGTACTTAATGGGTGAAAAATCTATGCCATATCATATTTATTTGTCAATTCATTTCATTATTTTTTATCTGCCGATATGTGTATGGTACCTTAGAGTTTTTCAACCAGTAACATCTTACTGGTGCCCTTAACAATTATTAAGTTACGGGGGCCTGAGTGGTTCAGTCAGTTAAGCAACCAGCTTCAGCTCAGGTCATGATCTAGCTGTTGGTGACTTCGAGCCCCACGTCGGGCTCTGTGCTGACAGCCCAGAGCCTGGAGCCTGCTTAGGATTCTGTTTCTCCTTCTCTCTCTCTGCCCCTCCCCCTCTAGGCACTCTGTCTCTATCTCTCTCTCAAAAATAAATAAACACTTTAAAAATAAAAAAATAAACCAATAAGTTAAATAAAATCCATGATGCATGTTCATTTTATATTTGTATCAGAGGCAGGATTTTGCCACTTGGAAATATTCTTTAACAATAATGAATAGGAAAATCACATCACTGTCCTGTCTTTGGCTTGGAGCACTCTCTCTCTGACCTTCACCAACACAGGCATGCACTTCATGAGACTGGACACCCAGATGCTGGTCTTAGCTCTCACCTTAACCAGTGAGTTAATTCACACAGCTTCCCTGGACTTCAGGTCCTTCATCTTTGAGATAAAGAGGATGAATTCAATATTCTTCAAGATCCAACTCAGCTCTGACTTCTTATGATTGACTGTGTTACATGCCCTTAGGTGTTCTCCCCACTATCTTTTGTGAGTTTTTTGTCCTTTTCCCCAGGACCTGCTGTATTTGGTTCCCTTTATTTCACTCTCTGCCACAGCTGGGCCTATTTTCCTTCTCTTAATTTCCCAAGGTTCGATTCCTCGATATTCAGCTTCCTGTCTCCCCACATCCCGATAAACACACACACACACACACACGCACACACGAATACAAACCTCTTTATGGGAACCAAAAGACAATAACAAACTTGTAGTTATTATAGGATTACATGGAAGAAACAAGGAATTTCCACTCTGCTTTGCCATTAATCCCTCCAAAAGAACTACCTCAAAACAAAACAAACAAGCACTTCACTAAGAAATAAACTAGTTGAACAAACAAAGCACTTTGATCTCACTACTCAGTTTCACCCAGGGGTAGATAATAATAGCACAAGTGATGGGCTTTTCTCTTCTTTGTTTCCCTTGCCAGCATCACACTCAGGCTTTCCCAGCTGGGGCAGGAAATGCACATCCTGAGGATCACACTGTAGCTTACATAGACAACTGCTCAGGTCTGAGCAGCAGAACTCAGAAGTTCCTGACTCTTTGCCTGTGCTTCACACAACAGACCAAGAGTCCTTGAGGTCAGTCATCCTCAGGGAATCTGCTCTTACAAAATGCTTTCATGTGTGTTTTTCTGCCAAGTTCACTTAAAAACTGAAATGGTATCTTTTCTATCTAAAGAAAAGATCCAGGAAGAAAGCCAAATTAGATTCTCCAAAGATTTGTTTCTAACAGCAACTTCTGGCCAGTGTGATGTTATTTCTAAGCTTTCTTATGGCTCATAAAATCTCATGGGGTATTTGCAGGTTGAAGGAATTGTGCCAAACAAAAAGGCAGGAAGAACTTCTAGGCCAAGGAAATCCATGTGCAAAGCATGGGCCCTTCAAAGGACCCCAGTGTTCTGAGCATGGGGAGTAAGTCGTTCGATGTGGCTGCAGTAAGGGGGCTGTGGAGGGTCAGGAGGGGGAGGCAGAGAGCATTAGGAGAGGGCAAGCCTGCAAAGATAAGGGAGAGCTAGAATACAAGGACCAAACTGCCACCTGTACTGTCAGGGAGCTCACAAAAGGAAATCTCTGTCAGATCTGCTACCTTGTTAGTTTATAATTCAACAAAACATGGTGGCGTGATGTCTGAAACTTCCCCTTTGAGGTACTCATTCAAATCAATAGCATTTCCCAGAGACAAATACAACATTCGACCCTAAACATTTGCTGGAAAGTATGTCTATGGAAAATAGATGTGTAGTTGGAATTTTTGTTTTTCTCTATGCAAACGTGTGATCATCTTTCTCTCCCCACACCTCACCCTCCAGCATCAAGAACAAATGGAGCAATCGTCAGTAGAAGTAAACATGCATAGTTGCAGTAACTCCAAATACTTTATGGTACACTAACAACCCAAGAATTTGGATCTAAGAACACGATTGTTTTCTGTCAAGGAATTTCAAATACATATGCACTTGATTGATTTTTGGTCTCCTGGGCGATAATATGAACAGGTAATGCTTCAGTTGCCATGTTTAATGACTAGCACCAGACTTTCTGCAAGGGCATGCCTCCCATGCCTGGTCAACTTATGATGAGGAGACCTGGAAAGAGGGACTGCCATCTTGATAAACTCACACAGTTGCCTGAATCTAAAATCTCCGTGCTCCAAGGCACAACTAGCTCTGAAGAGACTCAAGATAGTAGTTTTGCCTTCAACATGCTCCCATCTCATACCTACCTTTGTTCTCATTCTGTTCCTTCCCCACTGAGGCAACCAGGTATCTCAGTCAGCTCAAGCTGCCATAACAAAATACATAGACTGGATGGCTTAACAGGAACTTAATGTCACAGTCTGGAGGCTGGCAACCACAATCAAGGTGCCAGTGGGGTAAATGCATGGTGAGAGCCCTCTCTCCTTGAGTTGCAGACAGCTGCCATGAGCTACATCTTCACATGGCCTTTCCACTGTGCTCATCAGAGAAAGAGAAAGAGATCTCCTTCTCCTTTTTATAAAGGCACTAATCTTATCATAAATTCCCCACCCTTACAACTTCATCTAACCTACATGCCTCTCAATGGCCACAACTCCAAATACCATCACACTGGAGGTTAAGGCTTCAACATATGAATCAGGGGACACACAAATATGTAGTGCATTACATTCCACCCCTAGTCCCTCAAAAGTCATGTCCTTTTCGCATGCAAAACACATTCATTCCATCTCAATGGCCCCATAAGTCTTAACTCATTCTAGCATCAGCTCCAAAGTCTAAGGTCCAAAGTCTCATTTAAATATTATATCAGGGCACCTACTTGGCTCAGTCAGGTGAGCATCTGACTTCAGCTCAGATCATGATATCATGGTTCGTGAGTTTGAGCCCGACATCAGGCTCTATGCTGACAGCTCAGAGCCTGGAGCCAGCTTCAGATTCTGTGTCTTCCTCTCTCTCTGTCCCTCCCCTGCTTGCACTCTGTCTCTCTAAAATAAACATACATACATACATACATACATACATACATACATACACACATACATACATAAATAAATATCATCTCAGTTGGGGGCTCCTAGGTGGCTCAATCAGTTAAGCGTCTAACTCTTGATTTCAGCTCAGGTCATGATCTCATGGTTGTGAGATCAAGCCCTGCAATGGGCTCAGTGCTGAGAATGGAGCCTGCTTGGGATTCTGTCCCTTCCTCTCCCTCTGCCCTTCCCTTACTTGTACTCTCTCTCTCTCTCTCTCTCTCTCTCTCTCTCTCTCAAAAAAAAATCATCTCAATCAGATATGGGTAAAACTTGAGAGATGATTCATCTTGAGACAAAATTCCTTTCTAGCTGTGAACCCGTGAAACCAGACAAGTGATATGCTTCCTAAGTACAATGGTGGGACAGGCATAAAATAGACACTCCTATTCCAAGAAGAAGAAAGAAGAAAGAAGGAAAGGGTGGTGGGTCCTAAGCAACTCCAAAGCCTAGCAAGGCAAATTCCATCAGATCTTAAGACTTGAGAAATCCTCTTTGTTTTGATGCTCTGCCTTCAGAACTTGGGCAGTAGCCACACTTCCAAGGCTTTGCTAGATAGGAGTTGCACCTCTAATGTACCCCCAATGTTTGGGGTTTGGTGGGGCCCCTAAGGTTCCACAGGGCAGCTGTACTCCCGAGACATGGGTGGGATCTTCCTGGTCCACAAGACAGGCAGCCTTACCCTTTGAAACTGAGGAAGAGACAGCCTGTCTCAGGACCACTGGTGAACATGGCAGTCCTCACAATCTCTGGATCTCCTTCTGGGTCATTCCTTTCTTTCTTTGAACAAAAACACACATTCACAGCCAAACAGGCCTATGGTCTTGTCTTCTAGAATCCAAGAAGTCTGGCTGACTTTCTTCATTTTGTCCCAACTCTGACCCTTCAGTTCAAACTGGCAGTGTTTCTTCTACAATCCCATAACTTTATTGAGTGATAGTGCATTTATGAGCTTGGTGTTCTCTTTAGAACATGCTTTATCATTTTTTGCAATATGGACAAGTGAGAATTATCCAAATTCTTGAGTCTGGTTCCTTTCTATGTAATAATTCCTTCTGCAATTCATCCATCTCTTCTCTCATTTTACTCTTCTTTCTTCAGTCGTGGGAATCAAGCCACTCCTTCAACACTTCACTTAGAAATCTCCTCAGTTAGGGGCGCCTGAGTGGCGCAGTCGGTTAAGTGTCCGACTTCAGCCAGGTCACGATCTCGTGGTCCGCGAGTTCGAGCCCCGCGTCAGGCTCTGGGCTGATGGCTCAGAGCCTGGAGTCTGCTTCCGATTCTGTGTCTCCCTCTCTCTCTGCTCCTCCCCCGTTCATGCTCTGTCTCTCTCTGTCCCAAAAATAAATAAACGTTGAAAAAAAATTTAAAAAAAAAAAAAAAAGAAATCTCCTCAGTTAAATATCTAATTTCATCACTCAACAAGTTCTACCTTCCACAAACACTAGAACACAGTTCAGCCAAATCCTTTGCCACTTGATGACAAAGATCACCTTCCCTCCATATTCTAATAACGTGTTCCTCCTTTTAGTCTGAGACTTCCCAGAATCACCCCTAATGTCCATATTTCTAGCATGCACCTCAAAACTCTTCCAGCCTCTTCCCATTACCCAGTGTCAAAGTATCTTCCAAATTTTTAGCTATTTGGAGGCTGAGAAGTTCTAAGATCTACTGTTGGCAAGTTGGAGACCCAAGAGAACCAAACGTGTAAGTTCCATTCTGAGTCTAAGTCCAGGCTAGAGAAGACTGATGTCCCACCTAAAAGAGAAGCAGAGAAAGAGAATTCTTTCTTACTCAGCCTTTTTATGCTATTCCGGCCTTTGACAGATTGGATGAGGCTCACTCAAAAAATGGAGGACAATCTGTTTACTCAGTCTACTGATTCAAATGTTAACCTCATTCATAAACATCCTCACAGACATGCCTGGGTATAATGTTAAATCAAATATCTGGGCATCTTGGGGCCCAGTCAAGTGGGCACATAAAGTTAAGCATCACACCAAGTCAATCCACCTTGACCTGCTTTCTCGTCTTTTCTTCACACGTTTAACTCTAGCTTTACCTGTTTATCACAATATTCTGGTTTTGTCCAATAATCAGAGCCTTTCTAAGATACTGCTTGATTGCCCTAAAAATTACTACTAAGCTATTGATGAGTGCAAATGATTTAACACTTATACTGTCTATTGCATTCAACTTCTCCTTAAGGAAGAAAAAAATTCCTATTGTATTGTGGTAAAATACATATAGCATAAAATTTACCATTTTAACCATCTTAATATTTTTTTTCATGTTTATTTATTTTTGAGAGGAAGAAAGACAGCATGGGCCGAGGAGGGGCAGAGAGAGAGGGAGACACAGAATCTGAAGCGGGCTCCAGGCTCTAAGCTGTCAGTACAGAGCCTGACATGGGCTCCAATTGACAAACCGTGAGATCATGACCTGAGTCTAAGTCAGATGCTTAACTGAGTCACCCAGGCGCCCCACCATTTTAACCATCTTAAAATGTACAATTTAGTGAGATTAAGTACCTTCCCAATGTTGCACAGCCATCACCACTATTTCCAGAACTTTGCAACACCCCAAAAGTAAACCCCATACCCAATAAGTAAATAGTCACTCCCTACTCCCCAGCCCCCCAGCCCCAGGCAACCACTAATCTGCTCTCTGTCTCTACGCACTTGCCTATTCTTGGGTATTTCATATACATGGAATTATACACCATGTGGCTTTCTGCGGGCTTTCCTTCACTTAGCTAAGGAAGAATGTTAGAAGGTGAAATTGGAAAATAGAATATATTTTGTGATATAAACATTTTGAGGTATCTTTAAAAACACATCAACTTTCTATTTAATTATTTTACCAAGGTTTAGGGAACTCATCTGTGACCCATCTCCCCCAGACATTGCCCCAGACATTATGTTATTCTTTCTTTCCATGGAGGTTTGAAGCAGCCAAACACAAGCTAGCATCAGGCCAGTGTGCAGAATGTGAGGACACCTCAGAGGGCTCATTTCACCCCCATCAGAGAGGCCTTCCTTCTCTGCAAGTGACCTGGCAAAACCATGGGAGTCAGAAGGTCATACGGCCCTGGGGGATAAAAGGATGTTTGCCCACTGACACTTGAGGTCTTGATGAAAATAAAAGCAAGCACATCTCTGGCTGCAAAGTAAATTATTCACGGGCTTTATTTAAAAAGAAAGCATTTATGGAAAAAAAAATGGACATCACTTGAATTCCAAAAATCATTTCCAAAAAAAGAACATTTTTAATCAAATGTGAGTGAAAGAGACTGCATTCACAGTTCACACAGCACAGCTACTGAACTATCAAAAGATCCCAGGTTTGCTGAGATACTGATTTCTACAATGTGGGTGATTTGAAAGGATACACAGCTTTACTGGGAATGTGCTGTGCAGATGGCCAGCCCAGACCACGAGTCTGCTAAGTTTGATGGGAAACGAGCCGTTTGGCAACCCCCCAGTCTAAAGGGTCTGAGAATGGCATGCCAGAAGGGCCTGGGCCGCAGGAGTTGTTCTAAAACCCTACGCCCTGGAGGCCCCACTTGCGGGTTTCAGCCTGTGTCACAGATTTTATGTGCTGCGAGCTTTCACAGCTTTATTTGGCCTAACCAACGTACTAAGCAGCATCTTTACTTTCTCAGCTCTTCCTTTTTACTCATCTCCTATTTTTATTAATAACCAGACACAAAGAGGCTACCAATATTTTTAGTGCTGATTTCTACCCTGTTACTACTTATATTTTTGCCAAGATCGAAGTCTAGATTCATCTTCAAATCAGTTCATGTTGTTTTCCTGCTTCTATTTCAAAATATGGACCACATAGTCTTTATAATCTTATTTCATGATGTCTAGCTTAGATTTAATCATATACACAAGCTTCAGAAGCTCACTAAACAATGTGAGGATAAAGGAAGATGTAGGCCTAGTCTGAGCATGAAAGCTTTTATACTTTTCTCCTTCTTTTCAGTAGTTTCTGAGGTTTGTAACTGAACAGATTGAACCCTGGTTAAAAGTTCACAATTCCTTTTTAAATAACATCATTTCTTTTTTTATGGGGTCCGTCCGCCCAAAATGATCCCTGTGTTACAAGATAGATATTTAGTCGGTTAAGCATCTGACTTCGGCTAAAGTGATCTCGCGGTTCATGGGTTCAAGCCCTTGTGTCAGGCTTTGTGCTGATAGCATGGAGCTAGAGCCTGCTTAGAGTTCAGTGTCTCCCTCTCTCTCTCTGTCCCTCCTCCAATAATGATCTGTCTCTCTGTCTTTCTCTCTTTCTCTCAAAAATGAATAAACATTTTTTAAAAAGTTAAAAAAATAAATAAATAAAAAGATATGACTACCTGGGCACCTGGGTGGCTCAATTGCTTAAGTGTCTGACTCTTGATTTCAGTTCAGGTCATGATGTTGTGAGTTCGAGTCCTGTATCAGGCTCTGAGCTGATAGTGTGGAGCCTACTTGGGATTCTCTCTCTCTGTCTGTCTCTCTCTCTCTCTCTCTCTCTCTCTGCCCTTCACCCCCCTCCCCCACTCTTAAAATAAATAAATATACTTAAAAAATTTTTTTAATTCAAAAGACATGACGACAAGGCCAGGTCACTGGATTTTCACAAATATACCTGAATTTATCCACAAAAATAAATATGTGCCCTTCAAATAGGTAGCAACATTCCAAGGATATTGTTATTGTTTAAAATGATTTTAGAACTCCAGTCAGGAACTGCTTTCCTTCACTCACTGAGGGGATTACTTTGAATGTCCCCAATGGTTAAAAAAAAAAATCTTTTTCTCATCAGGAGAAGTTTCATTTCCAGAAAAAAACAAGTCACTCAATAAGGCAGATGGCAATTGACTGAATAAACTGCTTTAGCCTTAAAAAAAGGGACTAAAATAGAAGACTAGCTTTTTCTTTAATATGATTCCTTACATTATTTTCAACAGTAATTTGAAAAAGGGTTCATCAAACAATAGAATGATAGCAGTATGGTGAAAGAAGTGTCCAGACCTCCAAAGCAACTCCACTGAAAAGGAGGACTTTCAATTGAATATATGGAGGGTTTCATTATTATTCTTTTAATGTTTATTTATTTAAAGAGAGAGAGATTGCAAACCAGGAGGGGCAGACAGAGAGAGACAGAAGATCTGAACCAGGCTCTGCACTGACAGCAGACAGCCCAATGAGGGGTTTGAACTCACAAACAGCAAGATCATGATCATAAGCCAAAGCCGGATGCTTAGCTGACTGAGCCACTCAGGCACCCTGGAGGGTTTTATTTTTAAGAAAAATAGGCTAGCCTTGTTTCATTTTCACAGAAACCCCATATTATTGGTGACTAGATAAGAGAGTTGGCTGTTTTTCAGCTTACTACAGGATATAATTTAACAATTCAATCTTTGGAGTGAACAAAGTACAAAACCTGAAATACCTTCATTGAACCATGCTTTAGTGATATCTTCCAAACCAAAATGTTCATATGGATATACAATCTGGAAGTCAATAGATACACTCTGTGCAACCAATAAACCTATACTGAATGTACATATGAATATTAACAAAATATTAAAAGTTAGTTCTACCCTCTAGAATTTATACTTTTGGTTTCAAAGCCTTGTTTCCAAAGCTAATTTCATTAAGCATGTTTGTTTGTGACTGGGTTGCAAGAACAGCATATACCAGAATGTCAGGCACTGTACAAATCGATTTAAACAAGTTTTGTATTTCACCCACATAGAGATATTTAATACAAATAAGCCTGTGTTTTATTTTTGTATTCTTATTGATGATGAAAGGAAGAGGGAAATTATTGCACACCGGGCACCTATTATACACAAGGATTGAACATGTTACGAATTTAATCCTCTCCACATCTCTGAGCTAAATACTTTTATCCAGATTTATAGATAAAGAAACCAAGTCTTAGGGAATTTAAACAGCAGAACACTGGCACATCACTGGCAAGTGGGAAAAACACACTCAGAATTAGTTGACCATGGTCAGAGAAAGAAGTCAAAGGTCACAGCCATTTCCCCCCACCCCAAAAAACTGATGTTATCATTCCCCATCATCTTTTTTTCACTAATCTCAATAATTCTTTTGTCATACTTTTCTGCAAACTGAAATAGCGCAATTACCTCCTAATCTGGGAAAATAAAATGTTCTATGAATTTTTATCATGTTATTTATACAAGGAGCCTTTGGAAACCAGTTAAGTGCTTGAACCAGTTAAGTGTTTGGGTGGGACATATAAAAACAAAGCAAGCTAAATAAAGAATTGTTGAAGCAAATGAAGCAAATAAAGCAAAGGAAAAAAAATCACGATCCTTAGTTCAAAAACACTAGCAGCCTTAATCATCTATAGGGGTAATAGGTTAAACATTTTACTTATGAAAAGGATAAAGAGCAGATCCTTCAAATAAAATGTAAAAGGAAATTGAGAATCAACATCAGGACGTTTCATTTGACCTTAGAGACATATTTTACTGGTGACTCTTTTAAGAGTGTTTCTGATTTGTTGTTGTTATTGTCAATGGCCTCGATTTTTTAGCTTATCTCCCAGTTTATTTTGCCTCATATAGTTTGTTCATTTTTGCCTTTTATTTTCTTGTTCAACCCCTATTGACTGACAATTTGAAAGGAAAGAAACTAAAATAAAGCACCTGGTTTGAGTAATAATTTTTTGTAATTACCCTGATGGATAACAATCCATTTCCAAAATAAATGTAAGCTCCATAATTTACT